CTTTCGCCGGTGGCGAAAATCATGTTGGCGAACTTTCCACTACTCATTTATGCTCTCTGAGAAAGCCATGTGATGAAAATCGGGCAAAAACCAGCGGTTAACTGCGGTTTTACCGGTTCGGTTAACCGCAGTTTTAACGGTCCGGCTCCGTTACCGGCACCTCGGCATAGAAAAACCGCGGCTAACCGGCGATATTTCTCGCTTTACCGGCTCCCTACCGGTTAATCGGTGTTTTTTTAACGGTAAACCGCGGTAAACCGGCAGTTTTCGCCGGTAACTACGGTTTACTGCTAAAACTGATTCGGTTTTTGTGACATGGAAACCACATATTTATATGTCTTCCCTACTAGTGCATAAACGACAAGTAACTTTCATCGACATCGAAGGTCGATTCGCTGGATCCTAGACTGATGGAATGATGGCAAGTATGTTGTTGTATTTTTATGGTCATTTGTGACATAGAAACGGTCGTTTGTGCCATAGAAATGCTCATTCGTGCCATAGAAATGGTCATTTGTGCCACAGAAATGGTCGTTTGGGCCATATAAATGGTCATTTGGGCCATAAAAATGGTCGTTTGTGTCATAGTAATGGTCGCTTGTGCCATATAAATGGTCATTTGTGCCATAAAAATCGTCATTTTTGCCATAGAAATGGTCATTTGTGCCAAGCCCGTGTTACAAACACAGACAGACAAACAGACGGACAGAGAGACACAGGTGAAATATGGTTTATAGACCCTAGCCTTTCAGTCTAGGGAATGTTTTTTCTGTATATAAATGTTACAAAGAAAATTCCACTATGGAAAAGCTGTTCGTAAAACTACAATGATAGATCTATAAACTAGTTGTATGATCATAATAGGTATTAGCATTTTCTTAATACAAAATTAACACTAATGCCAAAGCATTAAATGAATTATTTAATTTTAATACAAAAGTATTTAAAAAAGTATTAATTAATGCAATGCTAATGCTAATCCGACATCCCTATCCAGTGTATTTTATTAAAGCTATCTGTAGTTTTTGGGTGTGGATGCGAGTGTGGGTGAAGAGAAGATCTGCACTCACATCTACACAAAGGTATCTAAAAGCAAAAAACTCTATCAAATGGGATATTTCAATGGATTTTTAGCTAACCTTGTGTTATTATAATTGAGTACTCATGGAAGTATCCTAACAAAAGTTAATTGTAGTCGCTCCTGCTTCTTGAGTAATTTTCTATGCAAAAGCGTTGAGAATGATCCTGTGAAGCGTCGGAAAAATTATATCGACTAACGAGGAAAGGTTACCAAGTAGATTCTTCCTCATACTCTATTCTTCCCAAACTATTACAATTTTACTGAACTTCACCCTAAAATTTTGCCCATGAGTAGATCTCACGAACATTAGAAAGTCCTGAACACTTCAGCCAAAAAGGATTTGTTCTTCTTGAAGTGTTAAATATCCAAAAACAATCATGTGCCACAAGGAAATGTAAGAAAACTCAATGTTTTCAGCATTCGATATCTCAAGAATACCCTATATTTTTAAGCTTAAATTTTCAGGTTAAAAAATTCAATAAAGCTGTAATAAGTTGAGAAGGACAAAGCATGAGAATAAATCCTTATAGGCTTCTACTAGTCTAATCGAGTCCTACGCTCATATATGGCTGATAGATTAATAAATAGAGAACATAAGGAATTCGAATCATATTGCAGAAACCGAAAATCTATCATTTATCTTTGGCAAAAACTGTAAAATTTTTCTCTTTTAACTAGATAATAATACTCTTAAGCAATATTACTAAACTTTTCGCTTTAAAAAAAAATTTAAAACTCTTCTTTATCGCCAGAACATAAATTAGCTCATTTGATCAAAATATGGTGAGAATATACAAATTATATGTGAAATACGATCTAAGAGAAGTGTTGAAGTATATAGGGTAGAAATTCACATCCCTCCACAGACACTTGCGAGAGATCATCACAGACCGTGACAGATGTTGCTGATATACTATCAAAGATCGTATACCAGTAACACCTCGTTATAATATATGAATTACTTTTTTTTTTTATTATATTTCTGAAAAATAAAGTAAAAGGATAGTAAACGAACGTGTCCCAAAATAGATAGAATAAAACAATCTTCCTATGACTAGCAACAGCAACTACGTCGTGTTTCATATTTTACTCCTACAAGAAATTGCGAAAGCAGTGTTCTTTTTTAGATAACTTTCCAGACAGCCTACATATTAATTAGATTCATTTGTTTTATATTGAATCGTTTATTTACTATAAATAATTATTCTTTAATAAATAAATTATCAATAAAAATTTTTGTATATTTTTATCGAAAGAAAAATCACTAGCAAAAAACAAAAATAAGCGAATATATGTTTGAAAAGTTCATCGATGAAAAAAAAAAACCTTCATTTAAGATAGAACGTCATCATCTTATTCAAGTTGAATACGTATAAGATATTACACATCATTGAATACAAAAGATTCATCTATTTCGTATCGTATACATTGAATATATCTTAGAAGATAGAATAATCATCAAAACATTCAAATGGAGTAAAGATTTCTGTTCAATTCTCTGAAAAATCATACTGAGCATGATCATTTGTTTGAATTTCCAAAAAAATTGACGTTCTCTTATCAATATATTAAATACAACTGCATATTGATGATTTTAAATATGAACTTAATAAAATAATATTTAATTTCATTATATTTCTGCTATTTTTATGCTTGAAATTACCCACCTAACTGCAGACTTTTTTTTCTTCTTTTTTTTTTAATTTTTTATACGCAATCAAGATTTACTCGTCAACGAAAAGTGAAAAAATCTTTGTTGTCTGAAACCATAAATTTTACTGTACTTGACATTTATTTCAAAATAATCTTCTCTATTCTGATTAATATTTATTATAATTATAAGCATAGAAAATTTAAAAATATATATATATATATATAATATGTAATAAAAATTGACGTTTTTTTTAGGTATATGGTGCTCGATTTATTGGTAAAAGTCGATAACGAGCTTGTTCTAAACGTTCTCGTTTTAATGTTTCAAATAAATTTAATTCCATCGTAGTTTTTCCTTTACTATTTTGTAAAACAAATTCAAGAGCATTTGGTATATCCGTTGCAAAATCAGCATCACTCATAACAATATATCCTTCTTGTTTATCAAAAAATGGTGATGAATTTGGTTTTTTTTTAATTGATTTTTGACGTAAAATTAAACGTTGTTCAGCTAATTTACTCATTGTACTTGTTAAATTACCAAAAGCATCAAGACGTGGTGATGTTCGAAAAGATGTTCGAGGTATTATTTTCGATGGTTTTGATGATGATTTATATTCTGAACGTCGTCGACGAATTGATTCAAATGTATTTGCTAATCGATATTCATGTGGAAGAAAACCTGATTGTCGAGTTGCACTATCAATTAAAATTGAACGAGCTGACGGATCTTTAGTATGTTCATTAACATTACATGTCTCTATAACATGTGATTGTTCAGTTCGTGGTGTTGTCGGTGGTGGTCGTCCATATAAAATACGTTGAAATGAAGCAACATTTCTTGCATTCTTTGAAAAATTGAAAAGATTATCATTTCAAAAGAAAAAGAAATATATGTGTCATTTTACCATTACTATTGAACTATTTTCAGAATATAGTGATGATGGTGAATTAAATTTAGTTGTGTTATTCATGTTTTTGTTTTGTGTAGTGTTTGTGAACGACTTAAGACTATTCGATTGATCAATTCGTTCTATTCTTATTCATTTTATATTATTGTAAAAAAAAAAAAAAGAAAAATAAGTATGCGTGCAAGCGGCACTCCTTGGATTTTATTTTTTTGTTTGAGCACGTTGCACTAATGGCGACATTTCGTGTGTTAATACAATACATCATGATTACAGGTATTAAAATAAGAGAAAAGCTTCTTTCTGTCTCATGTACGTACTCGTCATCATCCACTTAAAACTCCTCTTGTTGATTTAATAGGCAAGAAACGTGTCGATATTTTCACTTCTTTTCGTCTTCTTCTTCTCATCAATTGTACAAAACATGAAACAACCATAATTATACTCTCTTGTCTATATGTATGTGTCGAGACATTCAAAAGAATGAAGGAGAAAGAGAGAAGAAAAAAAGAAAGAATGTCTAATGCACTCAATTCATACGTTACTCTAATGAACATTCAACATACATTGTGTTCATTTTGAACTATTCTTTCACTTTATTCATTTTCAGACAATAAAAGTAACTGTTCTTTATTGAATTCATCTATAAAAATAACAACAACAACAACAACAACAACAACAACCACAACAACAGCAACAAAAGTAATATTATAGGCATCTATTATCGATTTTACGCTTTTCAGTTGAAAGCCGTAGGGTAAAGATAGAATTACAATCAAAGAGTCGAACGATAAGACGATATATAGATTATTTTATATTCATTGAAATTTTTAATAGTAAGTTAAGAAAAGAAAAAAAAAAGCTTTGATTTAATTAAATTTCTTTTCTTGCCTTTTTACAGATCAATAATGTTTGGTAATCAATAATAATATACACAAAAGGTATACATTAATAAGAAAACAGTCAAACGTGCAATGAGCCGTATGTAAGTACTCTTTTTCTTTTTTTTCTCTAACCAAATGAAATACTTGAGTAAAAATAAATTGAAAGAAAGTCTTATGATGTAACTAGTCATTAAGACTATTCACTCCTTCTCATGGAATAATAGCCTTTAGTGTCTTTTACTCACACACGCACATGCACCTCTATATAAAGGATAGACATACATCGGCGATTGAGTTTTTTTTTTTTTATTGTTACTAGTCGACGGTCAATACTTTTTCATTCATCATAAGAGAATCAAAAAAAAAACGAAGAATCGGTCAACTGGAATTACTATCAAACCTGCGTCAACTGGTTTTTATAGTTTATTTAATAGTATCAATGAATAGCACGCATATACATCATCATTTATGGCCATATGCTCTTCGTGGTAGTGTAACATTAATTGTTGAAAATACAACACTTGAAAATTTTGAACAAACTATTTATCGTAA